GAATTGTCGCAACCCCCAAGTGTTCACATGAGACAAAGTAAACACAGAAAAAGTAAAAAGTACTTTTAATTATTGCTGTTATAAAATATTTCTCAAGAATAAACATGAATCTAAAATATGACAACCATGTCTACATACTCTCATCTAAACACCTATGGACCAAAAAGAACGTGCTTAGTATCTCAGTTGTTTAATTTATATAAAGAAATTTAAGTAATACATGTTTGTATACAGAATCTATACTGTGTAATTCATGGGTGGTACATTTGATTGACGATCTCCAGTCAACTTCTCAGTTGGTGAAAATGAATTTTTTGTCACAGATTTTGTTACTTCTTTATCAGGATGCTGTATTATCTGTGAAGTTTTCTCCATCAGGACATTTGATTGCCTCAGCATCAAGAGACAAAACTGTCCGGCTTTGGGTTCCGAGTGTGTAAGTATCAAGTACAACCTGATGAATCCCAGCAAACTTGCATTCAGATATTTGGCTAATAAACTGAGACCATGTTCCAAAGTAAAGTATTTTACAATTTGATTCGATTGAGAGAATTCTAAGTGTACACTCCTTGGTTAAGAGCTAAAGGTTGGTGAGAGCACAGACCACAAAAATGACCCGTGTCCTGTGTCACAATGCAAGGCAACATCTGGAGAACCATTGAGTAACTAATAGAGATGACTTAATTTCTAATTGACCAAATTTTTTGATTAAGTTGTCTTAAGATTTCCAGAACCTTGCAGTGAAACCACTTACATGAGACCTTGTGGTTCATTTGAGTTTAGGAACCAGTTATGACTTGATGTCTTTGGTCTGTGGAAAAATGTGTCTGGTAGCAATCAATTATTGGAGTTGCTAGTACATGTACATATTCAAGGCTGACATAGCTTTCTCCCCTGTTATCTGAAGAAAAGGTGAGAGCACAGTATTCAAGGCCCACACGGCAACTGTAAGAAGTGTGGACTTCTCTGGTGATGGACAGTCCCTTCTCACTGCATCAGATGATAAAACAGTCAAGGTAACTGATTAAGCAAATACAGGAAGTCTGAAGAGGAAGGAGAAANTCGCAACCCCCAAGTGTTCACATGAGACAAAGTAAACACAGAAAAAGTAAAAAGTACTTTTAATTATTGCTGTTATAAAATATTTCTCAAGAATAAACATGAATCTAAAATATGACAACCATGTCTACATACTCTCATCTAAACACCTATGGACCAAAAAGAACGTGCTTAGTATCTCAGTTGTTTAATTTATATAAAGAAATTTAAGTAATACATGTTTGTATACAGAATCTATACTGTGTAATTCATGGGTGGTACATTTGATTGACGATCTCCAGTCAACTTCTCAGTTGGTGAAAATGAATTTTTTGTCACAGATTTTGTTACTTCTTTATCAGGATGCTGTATTATCTGTGAAGTTTTCTCCATCAGGACATTTGATTGCCTCAGCATCAAGAGACAAAACTGTCCGGCTTTGGGTTCCGAGCGTGTAAGTATCAAGTACAACCTGATGAATCACAGCAAACTTGCATTCAGATATTTGGCGAATAAACTGAGGCCATGGTCCAAAGTAATTAAAGTTTTTTACAATTTGATTTGATTCAGAGAATTCTAAGTGTACACTCCTTGGTTAAGAGCTTAGGGTTGGTGAGAGCACAGACCACAAAAATGACATAACCCGTGTCCTGTGTCACAATGCAAGGCAACATCTGGAGAACCATTGAGTAACTAATAGTTATGACTTAATTTCTAATTGACCAGATTTTTTGATTAAATTGTCTTAAGATGTCCAGAACCTTGCAGTAAAACCACTTACATGAGACCTTGTGGTTCATTTGAGTTTGGGAACATGTTATGACTTGATGTCTTTGGTCTGTGGAAAAATGTGTCTGGTACCAGTAAGTTATTGCAGTTAATTGTACATGTACATATTCAAGGCTGACATAGTTTTCTCCCCTGTAATCTGAAGAAAAGGTGAGAGCACAGTATTCAAGGCCCACACAGCAACTGTAAGAAGTGTGGACTTCTCTGGTGATGGACAGTCCCTTCTCACTGCATCAGATGATAAAACAGTCAAGGTAACTGATTAAGCAAATACAGGAAGTCTGAAGAGGAAGGAGAAATGTTGATCAATCACACTGATTCAATTTAAATGCACATGTATGTCTAACTTCAACAGGTGTGGACAGTTCATCGTCAGAAGTTTCAGTATTCTCTGAATGCTCACATGAACTGGGTGAGATGTGCAAGGTAAGGTGACGTCTGCATATGAGCTAATTTTGCCCATCAGGCTGGCACTTATCTCTGGTTTCTGTAGTATTTCTACTCCCCCCTGGATAGGATGCTAGTCCATTGCAGTGTTACCCCCAGCATTAAATTTGCCAGTACCCATTTATAAATACACCTGGGTAGAGAGAGGCACTGTGAGAGTAAAGTGTCTCGCCAAAGAACACAATACAATGTCTCTGGCCAGGGGAGCACACTAACCACAGGGACACCATACACCTCTACAAGATGTGCAAGGTGTGCAGAAATATATGCTTACCTCTACATTATTTTGTTTCAAGCCAGTTTAATTTTAATCAAAGGGGAAGGGGGACTCAAGGACCAGTAAGACCAACAAACCAAAGCTTGTGAAAACTCCACGTTTTAATCTTGACCTTTACCTCAGAGTTCCAAAGCATCATACAAATTTTCTTAGCCTTAATATGCGTTTCTAAGCATCACATCTCAATCTACGTTTGCTTCGAAATTCTCTGAACTTTCTTAAGAAACTTTCTTCGCGAACTTTGCGAACTAACTTACATACTAATTCTGAAAAGAGTAAAGTTGAACGTACTTATTCAAAAACAAAATGTCACATGCACGCGAAACTTGCCACATCAGTCCTATTCTATTGATATTCTATTTGATGGATGTTCATTTGACGTGTCAATTATTCAAATTCACTTGCTAGCAGGCGTTCTTTAAATATTTTCGGTTGACATGCATACAAAAGATACGACAGCTTGCATTGCCTTGTGGAGGTGAAGGTGGTCCCGTCTTTGAATCTAAATGAGTACTGTACAAAACAAATCTTCCTCTAGTATGGAGCAGTAAAAATTGAACCCACAACACAGAACCAAAAGAGCAGGACTTTGAGGATGCTTTCCCCCATGACCCTGGTTGGTTACATGTACATTGTACATGTACTTTATTCAGTTATCATGCCTATTACTACATGTATGTGTACTTAACATTTTGACAGGGCTGGCAGAGAGATAAAATAATGCTTTACTCACAGGACAGGATAACCATTACGCAGACTGAATGAGTTATGTATTCCTGGCAAAGTCTGCTCATTCAGTTTATTATTTGGGAACATTTTATTTTTTTATTTATGTATTCAAGGACGATAAACCGTAGGCCCCGTCTCAGAACTCTTCATAATTAATTCTCTGGGATGTAAAAGAACCCACACACTGATCGAAAAGAGTAGGGAACGTAGTTCCCGGTGTGGTGGTCTATCTTTCATCTGATGGTTGAATGCTCGGAGATATTAGCTGCATGAGCTACTCTGAAATCTGAGGGTAAATAAAGTAATGTATGTATGTATGTACTGTTGCTAGGTTTTCTCCTGATGGGCGGATGATTGTGTCAGCAAGTGATGATAAGACAATCAAGATCTGGGACAGGACAAGCAAGGAGTGTGTTCACACCTTTTATGATCCAGGAGGGNGCTTCGAAATTCTCTGAACTTTCTTAAGAAACTTTCTTCGCGAACTTTGCGAACTAACTTACATACTAATTCTGAAAAGAGTAAAGTTGAACGTACTTATTCAAAAACAAAATGTCACATGCACGCGAAACTTGCCACATCAGTCCTATTCTATTGATATTCTATTTGATGGATGTTCATTTGACGTGTCAATTATTCAAATTCACTTGCTAGCAGGCGTTCTTTAAATATTTTCGGTTGACATGCATACAAAAGATACGACAGCTTGCATTGCCTTGTGGAGGTGAAGGTGGTCCCGTCTTTGAATCTAAATGAGTACTGTACAAAACAAATCTTCCTCTAGTATGGAGTAGTAAAAATTGAACCCATAACACAGAACCAAAAGAGCAGGACTTTGAGGATGCTTTCCTCCATGACCCTGGTTGGTTACATGTACATGTACATTGTACGTATACTTTATTCAGTTATCATGCCTATTACTACATGTATGTGTACTTAACATTTTGACAGGGCTGGTAGAGAGATAAAATAATGCTTTACTCACAGGGCAGGATAACCATTATGCAGACTGAATGAGTTATGCATTCCTGGCAAAGTCTGCTCATTCAGTTTATTATTTGGGAACATTTTATTTTTTTTATGTATTCACTGTTGCTAGGTTTTCTCCTGATGGGCGGATGATTGTGTCAGCAAGTGATGATAAGACAATCAAGATCTGGGACAGGACAAGCAAGGAGTGTGTTCACACCTTTTATGATCCAGGAGGGTGGGTGAAGTCTTGACATTGTAGTCACCTATTATAATGTATAATTTGTATATTGATTTGAGCTGATTTAAAAGCAAGCAATTGGCAATATTCAACCATAGACTGCACAAAAAAGTAACCATGCAGAATCTTGGACAGGCTAAGTTCAAAATGGCTTTTAGAACTTAACTGTCATTCATTAAATGCAGTTTAGTGTTAAATGCAATTTAACAGAGTTAACAAGAGACAGTCAGCAGTCAGTGGTGTTTAGATCTGCGCATGCGCCAGGATTCCATGTTTTCTTGGGCCATAAGGCATTCAAGTAGTTAAACATCAAGCACAGGGGCTCTGCTCAAGGGTTGTTTCCCCTCCCTTGTCCCTCCCTTCCCTTTCTACTGTTTTATCAGTGTGAAGGGTGCCTAATTTCTCCCATCTGCGTGGGGGCTCATGGCTGGGTTGCCAGGATTTGCCAGCCATGTGAGCGGTCTCCATCTAGGAGCTGGCTGCCAACAGTGGAAGCTCCTGGATGCCTCGGGCTCCCAACCTTCACTTTATGAGGCAGTTGTTAAATGTTATTAATAATGGCTTAATTTAATGTCTTAAGTTTTTCTACCCAGTATTTAGCCTGTTCTCTTGTACATTTTAGCTATGTGAACTCTGTACAATTTCATCCCAGTGGCACATGCATAGCAGCTGGAGGAACTGACAGTACAGTAAAGGTTTGTTGAATGGATTCATCCCTGGGTGGGAAGAGGGGGGGGGGGGGAACTCCCAAACAAAAAGGATGAGGGTGCTCGTCGCAAGATCCTGTTTTGTGGGTGTGGCTTGAATTTTTTTTCTTCCAAGAGGTACCAATTCTAAAACAACATATTATCTCCTGTTATATTATTTTCAGCTCAGTACCCTTAAAGGTACTGCAAAGGCTCCTGCTGAGGACCTTTTGAGGCTGAACACCCTAAGAGCTACCAAAAATGCTTTTTAACCCCTGCAAGGTACAGTGAGCACCCTCATCCCTTTTATAATATGGGAGTCCACCCCCCCNCCCGCCCCCCACACCCCTGGGGAATTCATATAGGATTGATCAATTTTCAAGCCTCCGTGGTCTTCAAAGTCATCTTGAAAGTTCTGAGTTTGAAAATCAAAATTCAAACCTGTGAAAGTCTGTGAAAAAAATAATACGTTAGGTCCAATATATAAATTAAGCAAAAACAAGTTGCAAAATGGGATTTGAAGTTGATCCCAATTTTTAAAGGTCGATCGCAGTCATTGTTCTCAGGATGAAAAAAAGCACCCTATGGGGGACTGGTAGTAGTATGTTGTGACGTCAACCTGGTATCTTGGCAACAAAACACGACAAAGAAATATCACAAGTTATGTTTTAGAAAAGAACTGTTAACTCTTGAAATGGCCGAACTCTGACATGAAATTCCATCTCAAACTTGAAACTTTAACTCTAACTCATTAAAGTGTTAGTGTCCAGGTTGTAATGAACAGAAAGTACCACGCAGGGCTGTACTCTAGAAGCACCTGGGTGCCACAGGCAACCAACTAATGACTTTGGGTGACTCAAAAAACTCACTTTTTTCATATATTAGCTCAAGTGCTGGGCACCCAGGATTTCATGGTTAGGAATCTTTGGGCTCCTCTAAATGTTTCTCAGACCACAGCCTTGACCATGAATCAGGCTTTTAGCAAGAATTTGGAGAGGGGTTGTCCAAAATGTGCTCAGCAGTTTATAAAGCAGCGTGTAAAAAATAAAACAATTTTCTTTAAAAAGCGGACGTCCACAGGATGCCCAGACACCCATCTGAATTACTGGCTACTTGCAGGTTTGGGATATAAGAATGAACAAGCTGCTACAGCATTACCAAGGTAAGAAAAACTGAAATCAGAATTTACCAGTCACTTGAAATAGATGGTTAGGTTTCGGTAGGCTTATGTTGATTTGATCACTGGCACTTGTGGAATACTTTTCTACCGTCTTATGAAGCAATTCTTTAGCTGTGTACTGTGCAAATGGCTCGTATGTTGTGAACATAATATTATTGTCATAATTTCTGGAGATAACAATCTCTTGTCATAAGGTTGGCTGGAGGAAGATTTCTCCTTGAGAAAGCTTGTGAGAACTGCCTACATCACTTTCTGAAGCTCTGTGATTGAAGCCAAAATTTCACTTTGATAGTGTCTGACTTCTACCAACCTAGGGTTTTCACACAAATTGTTAGAAGTACAGGCTCCATATTAATGTTGCCTCCTTCAGGAAATGTTTGGTGCATTTTTCTTCCTTATTAGCAGTTTGCAAGACTTGTGTGATGGATTTTGATTAACAAACTTTGATAATTTTATGTAGATCCTCCAATTATATAACCCTTTTTTGTCTTTAAGAAATAAGTTTGTCTCTCACCAATAACCATATCATTTCGCTCCTAAGATGACCATCGTATAGAGAGAATTAACTTAAGCAGCAGATGCTGTATTATCACCCACTGCAAGGAGTGAAATAACATGCCATGTTAACTTTATCAAATTGTTAAGCTCTGGAAATGGAGGACATATTCTGTTTAATACGAAGTTGTTGATAAAATGCAAAGGAGAGAAGTTGTGGCGACATACTTTTCTTTGCACACGTACACATGAAAAATTTAACAAATGTAAGTAGCTAACCAGTAGGTCATGCCTTTTCTTTTTACATGTACATCTCTGTTAAAACTATACTTATATGTCAGAAAGATAACTACAAGAATCGCAGCTGTAATCAGGGTCAGAAGTGTTGTGACATTTTGTAAATGGGTCAAGATCTGTACTTCCCTTGATAAAAAACACCTTTTTCACACACCCCACAAGCTCAATCTATGCCGAAACAGGCTTTGTTGACACTGTTACAACAGTTAAAAGTGGGGTAGAGGCAAAATATTAGGAGTGTAGATGGGACAAATTACACTTGAAGGGAGAAGGTTTGATTTAGGGCACGCATGTCTTGGCTACTTTTGTCTTAACTGTTTTGTGATGTTTATAGCACATACAAATGCTGTGAATGCCGTTTCCTTTCATCCGTCTGGAAATTACCTTGTGTCAGCATCTAGCGACACCACATTAAAGGTAATACCAAATATTTGTAGTTACACTTCACCAAACTTCTTTGCCCCAAGCGGCGCATAAGGCCTCTTGTATTTACGCTCCACTCCACTAATTAATCCACCTTTGATGTTCAGTTAAATGTTAAACATAACTTAACCTTCTTAACCCTTTAAGCCCCTGAGAAAAACTGTATTTTTCTAAAATGATAACAGTAGATTGAAAGACCACAAGTAATATACCAGTTGAAAGGTATTGTTTCGGGTATGTCCTAAATCACCACAATGGACATACAAGATGTCACAAATTGAATTGAGGAGTCTGCAAAGTAAAAAAATGAAAACATTCAAAAATACTGTATTCCTTGTATATATTGGGTATACCCCTAAACAATAGCTTAATTTGCAGCTCTGGGTGTGCAGATGTTTATCAGATATTCCCTTGACTGTAAAATTGTAACGTGCAAAAGTTTCAAAAACTTGAGGAGTAGTTTATCAAGTCTGATTCAGGAGGGGGTATGATTTTATGCTTCCAATGTGAATATCTCTCAAAGATCCTTTTGGTGTCCAAATTTGAAACTAATTGGCCAAATATTAAGCTTATTATAACATTTTGTACCATATGGCACTATCAGGGCTTAAAGGAAGTCATTTGAGGGAAATTTGTGTAACTCATTTAGCAATCAAACAGTACAAGGGGTACCCACAGTTCTGTAATGATAGGGACTCCCGGTAAGGGTGGAGGGGGGAGAGGCTGAACTTGCTGATTCTCCTCACCTTATATCCCTGGCACCCACTAGCCTGCATAACACAAGTAAACAGGGGATGGAGAGCGAGGGTGGGAACAGAAGGAGGGAGTGTTTTTTGCCTCTCTTCCAGGCTCCCACCAATTCTTTATGAGCTCTTGCCTCTTTCTGCCTTTTCTACTGCAAAATGTTATCCAATGTTAATATTCAGAAATGTTCCTATAGCAAAATGTTATCCACTTTTTGTGGCTT